AACCTGCACTTGGACAGTTAGTTACAACAGATCAATACACGTAATAGCTTAATGAGGAAGTAAGTCAATTAGTCCCCCTTCCACATCAAATTGATTGTTCAGGCCCACTGGGACTCCAGTGGTGCAGGACTATGTGTTGTAAGGCTAGTCCTGGTGCAGCTTGTGCTTACCTGAGCACAAAAATTGGAGGTCCCCACTGACTGGAAGCTAGCCAACATTATTCCAATCTACAAGAAGGGCATGAGCAAAGACCAGGAAACTACAGACCTGTTAGCCTAACTCCAGAATTATGGAGAAGATCACACTGGGTGCTATTGAAAGGCATTTAAAGAACAATGCAATCATCAGGCACAGTCAACTTGGGTTCACAAAGGGAAAGTCCTGTCTAATTTGATATCCTTCTAATGATAAAGGTGCACGCCTAGTGAGCAAAGGGAAGGCAGTGGATGTAGCTTTTGATACTCTGCGATGAGCAGGTTCACAGTATGCTGAATGAAGAACTGGCTGAAGGCAGAGCTCAAAGGGTTGTATTGAATGGGGCTACATCGGGCTAGCAACCGATCACCAGCGGTGTTCCTCAGGGCTCAGTCCCAGGGCCAGTTCTGTTCAATATATTTATCAACAATCTAGATGCAGGTGTTGAATGCACCATTAGCATGTTTGCTGACAATACCAAACTGGGAAATGCCGTTGACTCTCTGCAGGGACAAGAGGCCTTGCAGAGGGATCTGCAGAGATTGAAGCGTTGGGCAATCATCCGTGGCATGAAATTCAACAAGAACAAATGCCAGATTCTGCACCTGGGACAGAGAAACACTGGGCGCAAGTCGAAACTGGGAGAGGAGTGGCTGGAGAGCAGCCCTGCAGAAAGGGACCTGGCAGTGCTGGTCGGCAGCAGGCTTCAACATGAGTCAGCGGTGTGCCCTGGCAGCCAAGAGGGCAAACCCCATCCTGGGGTACATCAAACATGGTATGACCAGCCAGTCAAAAGGGGTGATTATCCCACTGTATTTAGTGTTGGTGAGGACACACCTTGAGAGCTGTGTGCAGTTCTGGGCCCCACCATTTAAGAAGTTTGTGAAGGTCCTTGACTGTGTCCAGAGGAGGGCAACAAAGCTGGTGGAAGGGCTGGAAGGCATGTCCTGTGAGGAGCGGCCAAGGGCTCTGGGTTTGTCTAGTTTGGAGAAAGGAAGGCTGAGGGGCGACCTCATTGCTCTCTACAGCTTCCTGAGAAGGGGAAGTGGAGAGGGAGGCGCTGAGCTCTTTTCCCTGGTATCCAGTGATAGGACGCATGGGAACAGTTCAAAGCTGCGCCAAGAGGGCGGTCAAACACTGGAACAGGCTTCCTAGAGAGGTGGTCGATGCCCCAAGGCTGTCAGTGTTGAAGAGGCATTTTTGACAATGTCCTTAATAATATGCTTTAACTTTTGGTCAGTGTTAAAGTGATCAGGTGGTAGGTCCCTTCCAACTGGAACCAATATATTCTATTCTAAAATTGTACCTGTATATGAATTACATTCAGTAGGGCTTTTCAGGTAGCCTGTATTCTGGTCTCCTATTTAAAATCTCTGTTGAAATTAAATCCTCAAGATTCCTCATGTCCTAGGCCAAATAAAACACCCTTTGTAAGGGTCTGGCGTCACATTTTCCACAGTTAGTAAAATCTTCATCCTCCGGTGTATGTCTCCATCTCACTGAGTGGGTAGCACCGTGAGACTTTCATCTGACTCCCACGTTCATCTCTGTCACTGAAGTTTCGTCTTTATGCATCTGTCCTTTGACAGTTAGTTCTAACATGCTGTCCCATTTTGGATCATGGTCTGACTATGTACCTCTCAGGCACTTATTATCTTTCTGATAATTTACCTTTCATTTGCTATTTTTCTCTTGTTCTTTTAAGGACATTTAAAATTATATTTCAAATAATTCTTAGTATTTATTCTCCTAATTCAAGCCTACTGTTTCAATGGTGTTCAAGTCATTCGAGTTCTCTATAAATTCTCAGTATGCAAAAATCTCTTTTAGTGCTGTCTTTAGATTAATTTACGCTGCTGCTTTCTCCCTCCTCCAGAGCACTGATGATGTTAAAAGAGAATGGGTCTTTACTAATCTTTTTCAGTACACACCTTCCCCACAGTTAACACAGCCATCTATTATCTTTGTTAAATGTCTTTTTCGTCATTTGCTTTTCATCTAACTGCTGACAACCACACTGATGTGAACACATGCTTCAGACAAAAATTTTTAGGGTGTCCCATATCAAAATTTTGCCATAATAAACTTGTCTCACTTGTTTTATAAGTTAAATTTTAATAGTTCATTATTTATTGTTTCTTGAATATTAATTCCTTGTGAAGAATCAACTCACCCAGCAGCAACACAGTCAGAAAAGATTGTATTGAATCCTAAGGTCCTAAACGAAGTATTACAAACCTAGATGCAGCATTATAGGCTCAAATAAGTTTTACACAGGCTTTGGAAAACAGTTCAGAGAAAGAAACTCCATACTACCAGCCATCAGTGAGCCAGAGGAACACTAAAGATTTAAGTCACTGAGGAAAACACTGCATGTTTCTCTATGCTTATGAGCTAGCAAAGAGCAATTGCTGTCAATACCGGCTTCAAAATAAAACCATGGTGATTCTAAGGCATCAACAGATTCCTCCTTAGAAGTATTGCACAGAGTGGTTGAAGCTAGCATTATCTCGTTAAGTTCAGTGTTTTCCGAACTTGTTTAAAGCTGGATAAAAGAAAGCACAGCTAGTGAAAAACAAGAAAGCTGGTGAACACAATGAAGAAGAAGAGCTAGTGAAAAATTAGATTGTTGAAACAAGCGTCTAAAGCCCAAAGCATTTTGTGGGGAAAAGCTGAGGAGCCTGAGAACCCTTAGTGAAAGCGAAGTGAAGGAAGTGAAAGAGCTGAGAGTTGATGTGAAAGATGCCAGTGCTTTCTCTGAGCATAATGAAGAGTTTGGAGGAGATAATTGGGTACAGTACCAAATAATGTTTTAAAAAGAATGTGTTCTAGTAACAGAATCTTCCCTCCTTTCCTCCCTCCCTGCCCCACCTTGGTTTCTAATATACCAAGTAGAATTGATGCTGATGGTGCACTGGAAGGTGGCTGGCTGAGCATTTTTCACGAATTTCAGTGAGAGGATGGGGAATATTCAGCAAGTGAAAAAGCCCAGTGGAGACTTAGACATTCAAGTACTGAAAGGATTAACCTGAGTCCATAAAACATGGGAAGAACATTCTGTAGGAGTGGAAAACTTAAACTTGGAAGAGAGTTGAGATTTAAATGTGCAGGAAACAAAATCATCAATCTGTGAGAAGACCCCTGGAGTACCCTGTAAATGAGTACAACTTACTTACATCTTCAAATACAGAAATGAAATATTTTGAAGGACAGGAAGAAGTTTAGGAAGCTGGAGGAGATATGTAAGTCTGCAGGCTGTAAGTCTGCATATGCTGTGGGAAGAGTTGTACAGTATTTTCATAGAATCCACAGAGCCACACTGAAAGCTGTAGAAGGGAGTTCAACAAGCTCATGAATTCTTTAAAGAAGTCAGATTTCATCTGCGTGTGGCCAAAGCCCTTACTTTCTGGCATTGTTACTACAACCCTTGATTTTTGACGGTATCTCAGATTCCTCAGGTACCCATGAGTACTTTTCTCTATGCCAAATACACAAGGATGGAAACATCTGAAATAAGTGTGAAAGTTGTTTCCTAAGGTGTGGCGATGCATTGTGGAAAGTGGAGATGTAACACCATATATCCAAATCTGTGCCACAGGACTGTGCCTGGCCACCCAATAAATTGTCTGTTCAGTGGCTTGCCAGAAAGCATCATGCAATCCACCTCTTCCCTCAGAGTAACATGAATGGCTGGATCTTCCCCCACATCAGCAGCATTGTGGGGACCAAGATTATTGCCTCTGGCATAAGCAACCTCAGTTTACAAGTAAAGCAGAGACTGTTTAATTACCTTGGAAACGTGGAAAGCTAACTTCTTTTCGCTGTTCTCTCTCAATTTTTTCCTGTGATGTGCTGCCCAAATGGCATTCTTTGCAATACTTGTGTGCCTCACTGCTTGCATCTAACAGGTGGAACAATTTGATCTTGGTAAACAATTATTTTTGCTGGTGCACAAGAGAAGAACACAGTCTAGCTCCCTGAGCAGTGCTAACTGTACAGCAAGAACAGAAGCAAAAGCAGCAAGAATTATTTTAGTCAATCAAGTCAGCAGATGTGATACATGGAAGAAATCTGCTGGGCAAGACAACATGATTTAACACAGGGAATTTTCTAAGCATAACTTAATTTAAAAGGCAAAGGAAAGGTTGGTCTCTCACTGTTATGCATGGAAGAGAGGGGAACAGTATCCAGCCTCCAACAGGAGGAAGGCTGAAGGAGCCCGTGACTGCACACTTGTTAAGGTGGAAAGCTAGACAGGCATATGTGCGAGTTATATGTGCAATCTCTATACACATGTATGTGCCCACACGTGTCTAACTGCCATCTATATAAAAGTATGGTAAGCAGGTCTGTGCATATGTTGACCTACAAATGAATGTGCACACGCTCAGACCAGATGTAGCATGAACGTTTTCAACCTGTTCATATGTGATCAAACTTGTGGAGGCTGCTGCCATTGCCCTACCTGTATGCTCTGGTGCTTACCGCTCCTTCTACGTGTATGAGCACACCCTGTGTGTGCTCTGTGGGAAATACATTCCAGAGGATGCTGTTTGTGGTGAAACCCTTAAGCAGTTATTTCCCTGTTTCTTTGACTCCAAGTCTTTTCCCCATTTGCACAAACCTGGAGATAGATACAAACTTCTTTGACCCCCATCAATCACAAAACAGCTCAGAGGTGCTTTTCTGAAAATACACAATATCTGCAGTTTATTTTTCAGTTTGGTATGAGGGGGCAGGGGTTGTTCAAGCATGGGCTTTTTTCTTAGACATGCATCCCATGGACGACTCAGGGCAGAGAGTCTCTAGTCCTTCACCAGGCGGTAGATGTGATGCTGGGCACCATGGTCACTAGTTGACACCTCAAAAACATATGCTATGCACAGCAAGGTCTCCTGTGTGTCCCTGTTTGTCACAACCTAGACAGAAAAGGAGAAAAAGCTGAGATGGCAACTGCTGTTTCTCTGCTTACATATTCCAACACATTTAACATAGAGCAAAATTTCAGTAATAGGCAAAGAACAGAGAAGCATAAGAATAATACACAGCTAGGCCACCACAACCCCCAATCTATGTGCCCACACCACCAAGCAAAGCACTTTTGCAGCATCAGGACCACAATGCAGTGAAGAGACAGGGAGGTGAGCAGAGTCCACTGTGGAGAAAAGAAAGCTGTGACCAAGTAGTGACCACATAAGTGGAAGCAGGTCCATTAGGTCCTCTACTCCCCACCGTCTGGTCTTGCAGATTTTAGCAGAGAGAAGGTGTTTCACAGAAAATCTCTTTTTGCTCTGTTTGTTGGGTATAGAGAGGCCACATCCTGTGGCACATCCAATCCTGCTCACATGTGTTGATATATCACAGCCATGAACAGTTCCTTCCCTCCATCTGCTCCTACTTGTCAGTGGTGGACACAGACCACGAGGATTATGTAGTATAAGTCATTTTACAGGAGACTTACAGGTTTGACTCCATTATGCCTCCCATCTCATACACTGTAGATGTCAGAAGGATGGCTGCTACACTCATGCATTCTTACAGAGGTCCTTTTTTTCTATGGTTCCCCCAGGAACCTTAGCTTCTCTGCAATGTGACTCAGTGTCAGCAGCATGGTGATGGAACAGTGTTGTCCTAGTTTCAGAAGCATGCACTGCCTACACTACATGGCAGAAACAAGTGAAATGTTGCACCCAGAGCTCCCAGCTCAGCTTCCCTCTCTCTGTCGCTGCACAACTTTGCACATTGTTGTCATCTGAGTTTGTGCCATACCTAAAGTTTCAAGCAGTTCTCCCCTGCTGGAGAAGATACATTTTTATCGGCACTAGCACCAACTCAACTGCAGAAGAAAAATATACCAGCTGGAGGCTTGAACTGTACCAAAGCCCAACCATTCTTGTGAAAACAGAAAGAAAATAGCTGTTTTCAAACTTGCTTATTAATTTTAGCAGCCTGTTTTTGGTCTATTCTGTTTCCCTACTTCATGATGGGGTTTGCAGCTGAACTAACCCTTCTCCTTTCTTCTGCAGGCCATTGCGAATTATACACATTCATATATATACAGAGAGAGAGAGAGATACACACACACACCAACATCCAGGTTGGTAGCTGAGGACTAGCAGCATGCCTTGCATTAAGCATGACCATTTTTCAGCTCAACAGTGGGGAGTGGGGGGTGGAAAATGCTGAGCCTGCTGCTCAGGGAGCAGGACTGCAAGGCAATATATAAAAGGCTGTGCCAGCACCCACAGGAGATGTCTCTCTGTGACAGGAGGCAAGGGAAGGACATGAGATTACTCAAAACATAAAGCCCCAGAGGAAGTGTAACTGTATGACAACTTTGTTCATAAAATTTATAGCAAGCACTGGCCTGACTGAGGAATGAAACATGCAGAAAGCAGTTAGTGTTCCTCAGCATGGATTACAGCACACAGACCTTCCATCTCTCTGTCCCTGCCCCCTTCATGCTTTTGCTCATCCAAAAAAATCTCTTAACATTTATACTCCTATTTTCTTCCAGATGCTAAAAATGAGTACAAAAGTAAAGCCTCCTAAAGGCCTGTGAGGTATATTATTAACCTTGTGTGAGGTTAATAATGTGTGTGGTTTATAGGTCAGGTACCTGAGTCACAGAGAAGTGAAATCAGTTGCCTGAAGTCCCACAAGATCTCGAGGATGAAATGAAGACCACTTGATTTCCATTCTTTCATACAGCCTCTAGCATCTCTTCTACTTACCCAACCTCAGGTTCTCTGGGTGAAGATCTGTGACATGTCTTGTAGAGGCGAGCACAGAACTTGGTCCATTAGGAAAATCCACCTTTTAAGCTGTCTTTGCCCTCTTCCCAAATTTAAGATGCATCCGAGCCTGGAAAGGCTCCTGGTATAACATAGACACTAATGCTGCTGTAGCCTTGTAGTACTGCCCTACCTAGAGGTTGCAGTGATTCATGAAGGTGTCACAGAGCTTCCCCCAACATGCCCCTTCCTTTATGTGACTCCATATTCTTTCCAGGTTCAGGATGGTCCTGAGGAAGACAACTTTTCTTTTTTTTCCTACCTGGTCAGTGAAGAACTCTTCCCATGACAAAATTATATAGCCCCTTAACAGTGCTATTGTTTTTTTTTTACCTTGAGAAAAGGACCAGGGCAGAGAAAAGATCACAATGTTCACCCAATAGTGGAATGAGCAATTCTTTCACTAACTTTTGCATCTTTCTCCTTCCTTTATCTCTCTGCCTCATGAGTTCTCCTTTATCTTTCTTTGTTTTTTCTCTCTTACTCAGGTCTCTCAAATTCTTCTGCTGCTTCTCTGCATGAGTTACTATCTCTAGAGCTCCATAAATGGTCTTGAGGTGCAATACACATCTGAGATACTAAGTTCAATTAGATGCTGAGCTGTAAAAGGAAATCTGCTTTGACTCACAACAGTGAACTCCTGCATGGGGCTTACATGTTTCCAAGCTCCAACGAAAACAGTTGAAAGTCCCACCTGTAAGATAGTAAAGTTCTCCAGCACACTGTTCATCATATACTTCTCAGGAAGGTGCTTGAGTTTATGAATGAAGTTTATCATGTATTCGCAGAGAGGGGAACGGTGAATGCGATAGGAATAGTGTCCATTTTCATAGCGTGCATACTCTGTCTGCAAAGTAAAACACAAAAGGGGGATATGGGGCTAATGTTGTCACATTAGTAGCATTAGTCACATAAAGGGACTCAGAACAGAAAAATTACAATGGCATTTTCAAGTCATTTTACTAACAGTGATGACCTGATTAATCATTCCTCTACAGTACTTCGCACCGAGGTCAGTCTCCTTGAGCCCTCTAATTTCTTCAGCTTGATTTCTTTTTTCTTTAGAACAGTGGGTTGCAGTTTATGAGCAGCAAACTGCCAAAGAGCTGTGAAAGGTAACTAAGAGGAGCAGACCAATTGTCAGCTATACTATGGTCTGCGTCTCTACTGGAAAAATGTTAGGTGTGGATATACTGAAAAAGTTAAAAACTACTGCTTTAGCAAGACCGGGAAGCAGGATGGTAATCATGTACTCAGGATGATTCATGGCTGGAAAGGACTAAAGCCTTATGGTACCTGTGAGAGAGAACATAGTATCTCTTCTCCCCCTTAGGAGAGGGTCTGGCCAGTGTTACACAGAGGGATTTTTTTGTTCACATTCACATCTTAGCTTCTGTATATTTCATCTTCCTTTGAACAGAAGCTGAGGCTGGATTCTGCCATTTCACAGCAGACCATTAAATGCTCCTTTCACCCCAAGAGCTTGGTCTCCTTTCCTGTGCACCATGACACCTTTCTTCAGCCAATCTACCCCATCATGCTCATACATAACCCGATTTCAGGCATGTCTACCATATGCCTGGAGATGGGTCTTGGGGAATGACTTGTAGCTTGAACTGACTGCTGACACAAGAACACCTGGTGTTCTGCCCACAGCCACTGCTCCTGCATCTAGAGGATCCTTGAGGAAGAGAGCAGCAGGCAGCAGGTCAGAGCAGCTCTCTTAGCAGCTGAATGTGGCATCAGAAAGAATCTCTTCAATGCCAGATATATCCATAATAATGCACCTCCACTGTTGCTCAAGCTGTAAGTGTACAAACACTAAGACAAGCCTCATAAAATCATAAGACTATAGTCTGTAAATTATTACACTCTCTTCATTAATGGCTATAATCTATAAATGATCTGTTTAAAAACACTGACGGGAATGAAGTGTTGCATGGTTTTTTCACCTTTCTGGACTATAAAACAAGGGTCCAGGTTTCCTAGCTTTTCTTTGCTCACCCAAAAACCCCAGAGAATCATCGGAGCTGAGTCTTACATATTCAGGTCTTCAGAAACTGAGATTTAAGGTAAAAATAGCAAACACTACAAGACCTTCAATGAAGTCCTGAGACAAGGCCATGTTGCAGGCTAGAGCAATCTTACACCTGCATGTCTCAGAAATAATAATCTATGGCATTCATCTCCCTGATAAGAAGCACAGGATATATTTTGCCTTGAGATATACACAGAATGCCAATACTTGAAGTGACATAACAGCAGCCAGAGAGGACCTTGCACCCAGGTGTCTGCTGCCTACCTCCACTTTCTCCACCACTTGCTTTCCAAAGGAACACACTTTGGTGGAACAGGTAATGACCATGTTTTCTGGGCTCTCATATTGGCTGGACACGCCATAGAAAGATCTGGATTCATCTTCAATATTGGTGTTCAAATCAGCCTGCCAAAAAAAAAAAAAAAAAGGCAAAAAAAAATAAAAATGGTTATCAATAAATGGTTGTGGTGTATTTTCACCATTACCTAAACGGGTCTTGCATAGCCAAAATTGTAAGGTATTAGAGTGTCCAGACCATCTTAAGTAGATCAATGTGCATCAAGCAAGCAGGGGAAATCTGAAGACTATGCATTAAAATCCAGCTCCCGCTTCAGAAAATGGTGGTGGGGATTTGCATACAGATTGGGGAAATCTGGTGGAATATCCTCTTAACTTTAAAAACATGTGAGACAGCCCCTTGCCTTAGCTGATATACTACTATAACTGAACAGTGCCAGGACAGCATGGAGGTTCTCACAAAGCATGTGGAGACCAGACAGCAGAGCACTGTAGAGACAGAGCAATGCAACAGCAATTGTAATAAAGCTTTTCCACCCTGAATATGCAGGTAAGTGGAAAGAGACAGAGCAGAGAGAAGGAATGTGTGAGTACACACGCACATTCGGCTCAGGTACTACGGTATGAAGAATATAAGTAGCCAGGATGCAACATAAGGAATGTAGGTTGCTGACGGATGCAGCCCAGTTCCACCTGAATACAAACCCATCTCCATTAGCAGCCACAGTTTTCCAACGTGTGTGCCTAAGGTTGGCCAACTGAAGCCTCACATCAGGACCTAACTCTTAAACATCACAGTTGTGTGAAGCTTCCACCAGGGGTCATTCAAAACACACTTATGAAAAGAAGAGGCAGTTCCCTTAAGGTTTGAAAATACAAAGGGTGTGTGGGAATGCCCAGCTCTGCTTCCTCCCTTTCAAAACTACAAGGGTAGAGCTTGTCTGTATTCCACAAGCCCAGGCGCTAACTTAGATCAGCAGAAAAGTAATGATCAGTTCCCATAGGCAACAGTGGACATGGTGTGAATAGGACTGCATTAGATGCTATTCTAGCATGGTTTTCTTAGCTGGTGTCAGTGAAGGGTTTTTATTCGTGATCTAGGGCAGCGCTTAGGACAAGCAATGGTAGGCTTGGAACTGGATCGCCTGAATAATGAATCCGCCTTTTCTTTGCCATGCAAAATACCTGTCTTTTCTCTGCCATGATATAATACTGTTAGCTTATTCCTCTTATGTAGCAACTTCACAATAGGCTTAAGTCAATCTAGAAAGTGCCAGTCCTGCCTTCTCCCAGTCTGTAGCCACACAAGCTCGCTGCTGCCTTTGCTCCACCATTAGCAATTGTACAACTCTGTGGTTAGCCAGAGAAGAGAGCTGATCCCAGCCAAAATAAATTTTGTTGTGGTTTTGGTGGGTTACTTTTCAGTTAGACAAGAAAGCTCACTTTGATCCCCAGAAAGCTGCAGGGGCTGGGAAAGGTGAGGACACACACAAAAGTTGAGGGCACAAAGACTTTTTTTGTTTTGACAGCAACACATGCTCAGGTTGGCTTGAGCCTCTTGGGAAACTGCACCTCAGAGTTGTACTTTGATAACACCAGGCTGGTCCTGACACCATGAGAGAGCAGTCTTGCTGTACCAGAGCAGCTTGTGCCTACCCATTCCTCCTGTACTGACACAAATGTTTCTATAGCTGAATTACAAGGACTCACTGAGGAATTGCTCAGCTAGTGCTCAGTGGGATCAGTTCCCTGACCTGATCAGAAGCACTTGTGTGTGTTCAGACAAAGAACATGTTTTGGGAGGATGGGCAGCAATAAGGAAAGCAAAAGGCAGGACTGCTTCTTCTAGTGAATGATGGGTTTGAGTAACTACAACAGTAACTAGTAACCTGCTAGAAGGCACTCTTTGTTGTCATTCCCTTCTGGTTAAAAGTTTTGCCCCTAGACAGTCGGGGTGGGCCATCTCTGTACCATAATGCTTGCCAGCAGCTCACATCATGCAGAGCTATTGCCACAGAAGAATTAACCATTTTGCCAACAGTGTTGCCAAAAGCACTAGCAAGAAAAGCAGCCATGTGATAATGTGCAGTATTTCCATTCAAGCCAATTCCCACAGATGTTAACTTGCCACTTCAGGTGTGTGAAGGAGGAGGTGGTGGAAATAAAATAAACCATCTCTCTATTTATTTCAGAAAATCCAGTTCCATTTTCCACTTCTGTGCATTCATCCCTTTATGTTTTCCTAAATTTGTCATCTCCTGCATACTATATATTCAAGAGCATCCTCTGGTTTATCAGGAGATAGTCGTACAAAGCTGGTAATTATTTTATTCTCATGTTTGCTTCTCCTCAGAAGATAGCTTCACAAAACAATTTATCCAGGAATAGGTTCCTGACTTAACACTTATCCCTTTTGGCCCCCATAGTTTTCTGCCACCTCACTGAGCTGAAAACAAATTTGGGCACACATGTTAAAATCTATCAGTAAAACAATTGGGATTTAAAACTTCTTTAAAAATCATTTTACATCCACATTTGTACCACTGATGTAGTGATAACAGCTGGAAGAAGATTGGAAGCTTTTACATTGTCATGACCACCTAAATGACTGTAATGCAGTGTTATGCTCCAATGGTTTGTCTACACTGGAGTAGTGTACGTGGGAAAATCCAGGCTAGCTGTAACCTGGTAGCACACGTATTAATAGGAACAAGGCACAGGCATTACAGACTTAATCATAATTCAGGCTGCCAAGTGAATTAATACGGTCATGCTCAAGTCCTTGCTGTTGAATTTTCCCCACTATAGTTATGCAGCTACTTTGTTTGTACCACAAATGTACATGTATTAGAGAGTAGCAATGCTACTCTATTCTGGTTTGGGTTTTTATTGAATTATTGTAATACTCATTTACATGTCAATGCAACTGTATTGTTTATTTGACCATACTCCAGCTGTCTGAATAAAGATTAATTCCTTCCCTTCAAAAAGGAACTAGACTAGGAGTCCTTCACAACATTGTTCAGCTATTTCCCTTGGGGGTGATAAACACAATGTATGGACCCAATTCCACTTTTCCAAATAAATTATCCCACTGAGTCAAAAGAACAAAGGGTCAGGGCTACAGAAGCTTGGTCGGACCACTGCTACATAAACATAGTGGAGGCCCTCACTGCAGAACCAGACAGACATTTTCAGGGTACCACTAGTAAAGTTAAGGTTACATTCCCCTAAACTCTTAATGGCAAATTAAAAAATAAGTGCAGTTAATATGAGGCAAAGCAAAAAGGTGCTAGTTCCACTTCATGAGAAAAGCATCACTAGCCCTTAGAAGCCACTTTAGATGCCTCCACAATTTGGCAAGTCTCCCATCAAAAGACCAGACTGTAGAATTTCACAGCTAATTAACATCTAATTAATCAACATTAATCTATCTAGCAATAGGCAAGATTTTGGTAAGACTGTTTTAATTAAGCGGTCCTTGACATTCACTAACATTGTGTACAATCAGGTTCCTGGAAGCCCTCTTGAAGTGAAGCAATGGGGTAATGTTGGAATGCCCTGGCATCTACACTGCACCTTTTATTCTAAAGCACGTCCTATATTATGGGCTAGGGCTGTCTTAGGGTGGTCAGTCAACAAGAGCTGTGCACCCACCTCCTTCTGTCACCTCTGAGAACCTCAGCCCATAAACATGGAATTTCATCAACTCCAGGGAATGGCAGCAGCAGCTGTCTGAGAGCTCCAGTTTACGTTCACAGGAGAATGGAGCTGCAGCACCTCAGATAGATACTGGCCTTACAGTTACAGCTTATTTACTTACTTACAGCTGCTGATTCCCACCCTCTCATGGAAGTTGCTGCCTCTGTACCAGAGATTATTTAGCACACACATATCTGCTCTTGAATTATTTGCAACCTGGTTTATTCATGTAAACTGAAAATGGCAATGGTGTACATGAATATGAGACCAAAGAACCACTCAGGAGTAAAACTCCAATCTGTTTTCCCTGCTATGGAGAATATTACCCCCTGAAGGGAGACAAGGCAGAAAATTGAGGAAAACCACTGTTATCTGCCATAGCCAAATTAACTTCTAAATATCAACTGGACACTGAGGTAAATCACTAATGGATGCAGTTAGACTTCCCAGGACTGCACCAGGACAAAATCATACTGTTCATCATGGGGTGTCTAATGGCCAAAAGAGCTACTGCTTTTAGCTTAACATGTAAAAATGCTATGGCCTCTATGCCTAGATTCCTATGAGCTCCTCACAACACCTAGGCCATCTGGACTAGAAACCACATTGTTGCTTTGGGAAAAGGACTCTTCCTTTCTCTTCACTTTCAGGGTTTCTTTCTCTGAAGAAAACCTTGTGTCAAAGCACACCCAATCCTGGGGTGAGCAGAGAAAGGTCTGCTTTACTCTGTCCAGTACATTCCATCCCTCAAAAGATGTGAGGGAATAATAGTGACTACGACTTAAAGGAAATCATCTTCCCAGCACTTCGTCAAGTAGGAAGTCCAACCTTCACTTTTTTGTCTGGGAATGCATGGACTTGTTGACTACATAACTGAATGTGATTCAGACCTGGAGACTAGGACATAGGTGCCTCAGCTCCTCACTGGCAAAGGCACTAGTATGTCCAACAACAAATGAGGTATCTCTTGAATACGTTCCTTACTCCAGCCTAAGCAGCCAATGGAGACATAGTCAGGATTTGGGAGAGTCCATAGCCAATGAGCTCAGTTGCCTTGCCCCTCCAGGCTCCTACTAGCCACTACTAGCAACAGGGTGGGACTGCAGCAGGCGTAGCATCAGTATTCAGCTGTTTGGGTGGTGTCCAGCACTCAAACAGCTGTTCTCCATCTCTTCAAGGGCAAAGGTGGAAGATCAAATAGATGAGGCATATTACAAGCTAAATCTGAGCCATGAGCCACCAACTGGACCATATTACTTTATCTGACAAAGTCAGGGTTCTGGCTTTCTGTCCAAGAAATTCTAGATGCAAAAAGCTGTGCACGCTCTAGCAAACAGCAATCTGATGTGTCTGGGATGCATTTAACTTAGTGTGCAAGCTCAGCACAGACGACATACTTGTCCATGGCTTGCCTGATGACTTCCAAACATACTGAAACTACAATTACTGAGTTATCCATGATCTAGCACATCTCAGAGGTCTACATATTACATGCAAGAGAGCTGATCTGCCCATTTTGGGGGAAATATCTGAGATTTCCTCCTTTCCAAAGAAGTAAGCAGAATTTTTAAATACCTACAAGACAAGATTTCTAGATGGAAGAGAAAGGATTTGTTCAGGGAAGGGCATAGTAGCACTCGACAAGCTGGTATTACTTTTTTGTTTTTGTTTTTTGTCTCTTAGCAGCTCTGCTGAAAACAGCTCTGATGAGGTTGAGTGTATAACTCAACTTCTGGAACCCCAAGAAAGAAACACTTACAGAAAAGTTGGCATTGTGCACTGTCCTAACCATATATGAAGCCAAGATTTTTGTCTGATCTTTGGTGGGAGTGAGTTTCACAACTGATTACCAAGAAAGGCCTCGTTCCCACTAGGATGAGGCCATGAATCAAAATTTCTCTGAAACTCTTACAGAGGGAAATGTGACCTTTGAGAATCAGTCTTCAGCTTATCTGAGGCTTTGAAAAGCAATGATTGGACAAGAGTCCAAATGGCACTACATGCCATGAGAAACCGTAGCTTGCACACAGGTCCCATGTGGTCAATGGAAAGGCATATGCTGAACAGTTCTTTAAGAACAGTCCAAAACGTGTGCCTCTGCAGCTTCAGCCTCCAAGAAAGGGGAAAGGGGAGAGTTTCTGAGCTAGCCAAAGACAGCAGAAGTCCTTGCCAACACTACGGGTAGCTGCGACTTAGCTAGTCCCCCAGGACTGTGTTACTTTGACACCCAGCAGCCCAATTCCCACAGCAGTTCAGTCTTTCAATCTGCTTTTTGCTGCCAACAATCTCTGAACAGAAAGTCCCTTTACATAGGGTAGCAACTGGTAGGAGGTGATGCTGGTGACTGCAGGTGAAATTAATGGGCTGTCAGATCCATTCTCAGAAAAATGTGCAAAGATAATTAAAATCTCTGTTGCTAGCTGCTGTCTTGTTTGCTGCCTCAGAAGAAGTGCCAAGGACAGAATGGACATGGAGACTAAACTACCATCTCCTTGCTCTCCAGGCAGTTTCTGCCAGGTCAGGATTGAAGGCACACAGTGAGCACAGCAAGGTGCTGAAGGGAATTTGCACTGCTGCTGTTTTGACTGGATTTGCTTGGTAGAGAGGAGAAGCCAAGCACAGGACAGCAGTCTCCAGCCCACCCTTTCAGACCCTTCCACAAAGGTATAATTCATTTACTGGAAATAAAACACTCAGTGATTTGACTGGTCCAGCGTGCCTGTCACTGAGGAGGAGAAATTTCTACATATATTAATCACTGGCAGTAAAGGTCTCCCAAGCAATTTCCCTGATCCACCCCTCTGCAGATGGCTGCTCTGGACAAAGTACTGCCTGTCCTCAATCCCTGCTTTGTCATTTTCCTTCTGGCTTCCACCCAGAGTCTCACAACTTCTGAAAGCTTTAAGATGCAAGTGCACCATTCTACGAATCTGCAAAGCCCTGAAAACGCCTCTACCCCAAACTATTAATAACGATGCATATAGGAGGAGTTCATGGGGAGAACCAAGTAACAGGTGGTAGAGATAATATTACACTGGAAAAGAGCAGAGCTGCCACTGCCCATGTGTTGGGAGCCCAATGTCTCACATTCATTGTCGTGTGCTAGAATGCACTTGGAGCACAGAGAAATGTCACACAGATGTCACACACAACCTGCCAATCCAAGTCCAAGAGTTAGTTCATTGTACCAAAATCAAGGATTGCAAACACTGCTTATGTTTCACACTCATCAACTTTTAGCTACTGCATAAATAATTTAAAGCACAATTGAACAAACATGAACATATCTTTCTCAGTCACACTAGATCCTAAGTGCTATCAGTGATGTCAAGAAACCCCAACCCTGGTGTTTAGAGTTAGGCTTCTGGTGCACAACAGATCATCTGGTATACTGAATGCTTAGTGCAGTAATGCCAGGTTCCTGCCTCAGGTTCTTCAAGCCTAAAACTACATATAGACAAATCCAACTTATTCAGTGCCTTGCTTTTTAAAGCCTTTGTCACCTGCAACCACCACTTCAATTCAGAACCTTTGAAAAATCAATCATATCTTCATGTCTCAAAACACCCCTTCAAGTATTTAACTCTACTCACCAATTTTAAGGTTATCGGTAATTTGCTTTTGGATAATACTTTTATCCTAAACAGTGCTATAAATTCAACAGTGTAGTAATTGCTTAATCCAACACATCTTTGGACATCAACAATATTTTTGTATAGCTGCCCAGAGCAATCAGGTAGCACAATGAGAAAGCATCCTAGCATATACTGTTGCAGAAGTATAAAAATGCAGGGGGTATAAAAATCTCAGCCTAAATCTAAAAAAACCAGTTTAACAGAAGAAAACTAATCATATTGCCTTATCTTTGAGAAGGGTTTATTGGGGGGGATGTTGCACTACACCCATCTATTGCAATACACCAAACTCAGGAATTCCCATGACACATGTAGCATGATGCATTACAGGTATGGCTCACATGCTTTGTTTAAGTATAAGACTGCATTACCACCATTTCAGGCATGTTGAATACAAGGTTTTGCAACAAAATGGTTTGGAGTTTTCCTCAAGAAAGTCCACATTTTCTGGAGCAGAAGTTTTTTTGAACTGCTTTAGTTATATTGCCTTAGACATCCTAGCTGAAAGCTTACAACAGGATTAATATAAGTACTCCTGTGAAACACAGTGCAAATCGTAGAAGCACCCCAATACCTTCTCATCCAGAATATGGCATGGTCTTTTCATCCCCTACTACTGTCTACACTGAGAAACAAATAAAAGACAAAATGATTTACTTCTTAAAAGCCTTAACAGCTTCCATTCAATTAATGACTTGTAAACTTAGCTTATTTGTAAGTGACAGCCTGTCGTGTTTCCACCAGTAAAACCTGATGTTAACTCCAGATAGGATTCAACAATGCAAGGGTACCCAAAAAATAATCAGAAAGTCAAAATATTAAACCAAGCCCAAAAATATCCCTGTCATTATAAGGGTACAGATGCAGAGCCCCAGGGCATCATGTATACGTAAAAAGGTGTTTCAAATCCTCCTTCAGATCCTTTATGCAAGCCAAATTTCAGTGATTCAATACCCTCTGAACACCAGACACCTCATGTGAGCCCAAGAAAGAGTCCAACTTCATGACATCCCATCATGTAAATCCTTCAAAAGCCTAACTTAGGTTGGTCTGACATGATGTGTAGGCCACAATTATCCTTCTAATATTAAAAACCAAACAAACACAATCCCCAAACCCAACCCCACAAGCACAAAAGCACACTAACAGTTTTGATAAATAAAATCACATTTGCAGTAGATAACAATTTCATTATGATTTCTCTCCTCTTAAGTCAAGGAATTCAAAGTGTTTTATTTTCTCTACATAATGTCTCCAAGCTCTTCCTTTTTGTTCCTGAAACTTCCAAAGCACTTCAGAGCAGGAGCCAGTGCTCTTCACCTCGGCATGAAGACTTTACTGGGATCCCTACCCCACAGCAGGAAGCAGCTGTTGCAGCTCCTACTTTTCCAAGGACCATTTCTTAGAAGTTATCCTCTCTTATTCTTTTTCCTTTCTTTTGTCACATCATACTTCTCTTTCCTTTTCCAGACAGTTCTTGGTAGGGCAATCACTACCCAGATCTTGTCAAGGATACCCTTCTCAGCAAGGTGCTGCTGTCTCTCCCAGGTATTTCTCTTCTGCCTGGAACCGGGCTGGTCTTTTACCTTTTGTTTCAACCTTCCCTTTGCTGCACTCTGACAGAGGCTGACATAAGGGACCCAGCTTAGTCGCACACAGTCTGCAGGTTGTAAAATTATGTGTCTCCAAGACTTCCTAACGCTCTAAGCACCAGACACTTGAACAGCAGACTCCCAGCCAACATTCTCCAACTTAGTTCTGGAAAGGCTAGGCTTGGGGCAGCTGGGAAGCTGCATCTCAAGGCACTCAAGTTAACTCTTCCTTCCCTTGAAAGCACCAGTTAAGAGGCATTCTAGTGCCAATTTTTATGAAGAGTATGAGAAACGAAAGCTCATTTCTCATCATCTCACTCCTGACCTGGGGTTGAATTATAACTGGTAAACTCAAGGTGAAAGGCTCCAAATCCCATTACACATTCCCTCAGCCATCTAGTGTGCAACTGCCCCAAGCTGCTATTATTTTTAATCTTGTAATACCTATGATAAGATCGATCACCACAACTATTTTGTTTATACCCTGAAGCACAGTGGTGCAGTTTTTGCAAATCTCAGCTAACTCACAAAAATCCAAATTGAGTGAGTAGGCTTTTGCCAGGCTGATTTCTGCCAACTTACCAGAAGCCATTTCAGTAATATATTATTGGGATAATCCAATTTCATTATATGTCCCTCTTATCTTTTGTCTGTCCTTTTGCCTGCAGTAAATAATGCATCTGTAAATTATTAGTACTTGGATAGCACAAAATGCAGATAATGAGATAGGAGATGAAAAAATGTTGCCTCTGACTGAGAAGTTACTCAACACTGAGAGACATGAACACATAAGAGTATGCAGAGAATAATTTAATTTAGATTCTTCTCTTACATAAATAAAGTTTTAAAGGGCCCAAGTCACCATTAGCAAATAAAATCTCCAGACACTAGTCAAGAACAACTCTACGGATGATGCTGTGAAAGATACATCTTGCTCCAGGCCAGAATGAGGACCTTGTGCAGTCAAGGAAAGATCTCCAGTGACAGTCGTGACTGTATTAAGTTGGCTGCACAGGGAAAATTGGCTGGGAGGCGGCAGTCTTGAACAAGTAGCAAGGCCACCGCTTTTAAAGTGAGAACTTCATAGCAAATGGGTACCCTACAAAGGGTCCTTTCCTTACCCAGAATTTGACAAGGAAGAAGGCATTAGCTGGGCCCCTTTCAAAGAGCTCCTTCAGGCCCCCTTTTTTCTCAGGGAACTTGTCATAGATCTGCCGGATATCCACTGCCTCGAGGTAGGGATCACTGTAGCTGGGGCTTGACTGCCCAATGTGCACAAACAGGTGTTTGTTATACTGCAAGAAGAGGAAAAACATGGAATTAGGAAATCATTCAGTACCATTCAGTACATACTGAACATTCATGATTCTTCACAGAAGACTACTGGAAGTCACTGAAGATTTGATTTCTTTGCTATCAATACATCCATGCTTCTTGCTTCTTCTGAAACATTATAGTTGTTTTTTTCCTATATTCATTCCAAAAGTATTGCCTCATGCTGCTGCTCTATAGTGTGAAATAACCTGAGATAGTGTTACCTGTCACAGGTCACTCAGTCATACATCAATGCTCCTGTCTTATGAAGAGCTGCCCGAAATCCCACAGCAAGGTACCAGCCAAATACTGTAATCTTTTCTGAAATTTCCTAATCTCAGACAGAGGAAATGGAACTGGCCCATCACCAATGTACGTCTCAAGATGCAGTATCACAAGGTTTTGTAAAACAGGCAAATCTTACTACTTCCATTTTATAGGTGGCTCCATGGAAATACATTGATGCAAAATTCATCCCAGTTGCCCCCAAATTTAAGTTCCCAGCACACCAGAGAAATACATGGCTTCATGTGTTCTTACCATCATCTGATTCTGGGTCTGTCCTCCAAGGCTGGATGGGACAGCTAGAATAGCCCGGCGAGGGCTGTACCACTGTTTTATCACCCCTTGAGCTCTGGTATGTGAACATCCATGACCATGGAAAGGGAGGCCAGAAGCACATGGCACAGAGCTGGCTATACCACTATAGGCAATTCTATCCTCTAAGAGAAGGATACCTTGTGTTTCTCAAAGATGGCTTTCTGTCCTTAGTAGAGCAACAAAGCAAGTATTTCCATACACATATAGTAGTATAATATATCCATGAAGAACAGAAGCTACCTGAAGACCAAAAATTAATGAGGGGTGGAAGTCAGGTGTGTATCTTACTGTGTCTTGGTCTTGTTGTTGTTCCAAGAATGCAGAGAATTCTAACATCCAAAGTTTGGAGCTAGCAACCCTTCGTCCTTGCCAAGCTGGTGCTGATGGGGAAGGCGAGAGGCCAGTAGGAGACTCAAACCCTAAGCACACAGGATTTATATAACAAAATTTAGAAAGAGAAAAGTTGGTAGTAACTTTCCAGTAGAGCACCTGTTGTCAAAGCTGACTAATTACATTTTCTTATTACTTCAGTCATCATGCAAAAATATCATTAACAAGGTCCTCACTCTACAATGGCTTGTCAGTTACCCTCTGCTAAGACAGCACTGTCAGGGTTGGTAATGATGTAAAAGACAATCTACCTGGTTTTCACACCAGAGAAAACATGTTTGGCAACTTTAAGAGGACCCTAAATGAGCAGTGTATCAGAGTACAAAGTATCAGAATGAAGCATCACCATTAATGGGACCATTAACCTTTCAAATGGGGAAACTCAGAAGGAAAAGACATTTGTTGTTCCACGCAATGAGAAATTGGAAAGGCAATCACGTTATGATGGAAAACAGTGTTCTAGTACATGCAGCATGGTGGAAGAACAGTGGAGATACATAAGTTTTTATTTTCTGCTGAGCCAGGAGGAAAAGGAACCCCAAAACAACCAACCTAAAACAGGAAACAAATTTTTTTTAAATAAAAAAAACTAAAAAAAGCTTCAGGTCTCTCAGTAAAAGGATGGGAACTGGTGACAATGGGAAATTACATAAAAAATAATTTTTGGCTCACTGAAATATTTCAATATGTAAAAATATTTTTTTAAAAATTAATTTTTAAGTGTTAATTTAAAACTGTTGGCTATTTTTGAAGTTGGAATATAATTTCAAAGCAAGGAACTACATTTCCTTACCTACCTGGTAATGGCAGCGGAGGCTGTATAGCATAAGGTTGTTGAGAAAAAGGTTTCACGCTACAGAAGTACACAAAGAGAGATGGTTAACAAAAAACCCAACCCAAACCAAACAAGACTCTTGACCAACCGTTTGCGCACATTAGATCTAGTATTTCTCCTGAGGGAGAAAGTGTCATAAGTGTCTTTGGGAAATTATCTTTCTGTATGGGCAAGAGAGGGTCATGGAGAAAGACTCAAGGAACAGTAAGGGCCATGACTGGACTGAGTAAGATCTCCCTGCAGGTGTGCAGCAGGCACTCCCAGAAGACTTGTTATTCAGAGATCCTTGTCAGCCTGTTAATACACCAGTGCCTATTCGTTTATTCTTTTCTTTCACAGATAGTTTTAAGTTTATGCAAGTGGATACACCTCTGGGCTGGATGCCTCTCAGACTTTTAGGCCCAGATTCAACACCCACAACTGAACCTAGCTTTCAAGACAGCTCAGCTCCATTTTAACACCACTGTAAGAAAAATCAGGAACTGGAGACACCATCTGAAATCAGGGGTAGCAGATACTTCAAGCTTCTAAAATAACATCTCACATTGATACTTCCTTGATTGCTGTCAAGCTAAAGGCCTAAAATCTACTTCATCTCTCCTAGGATGGCTTCCATTCTTTTACTAGCCATTTTTTCCCCACACGGTATTTTAGTAGTATCTGTTCTCACAAATATTAGCAACAGCACCACAAGAGAGCAGGAACACAGGGCTTGCCTAAAACACATAGTCCCTTCCAGCTGCTTATCCTTAAGTTGGCTTAAATTGCTCTTGTTAGGCTATGTGATAAAAAGTGAGTCTCCATACAAACAAATGAGCACAGAGGAACAATGGCAGGCAGAGCAACCTGAATAATACTCTGCACAACTACACTCAGCGCTGTCACTGGTGAAGGATCAGCCCACCAAAGGGTTGTCTCCACATGGGGCAGGGGAGCCCCAGTAATCCCAAAAGAGAAACTGAGCCCCTGCCAGGGCTGTCACAGGACAGCCATCGTCCTCATCATCCAGGTGTGAAACAAACCCAGTCAGCCAGCTGGGGAGGCTTACAAACCAGTCACCTTACAAACTGCCTAGGGGTTACTGCCTAGATGGTAAGGGACACACTATGGAATGCAGGGGAAGGGCATTTTGGGATTGCACAAGATTTATTATGGGGATGAATATGGCAATAAAAGGTGCCAGTTGCATGTAAGAAGGGCAGTACTACTGCACCTTCTCAGTGCAGTCAGTGCTATATCTTCTCACTAAATTCTATCTCTAATTGTTTTCCTGCATGAGGAGCTCTCAGGTCTGTGAGTATTTTTTTCTGGAGTGCCAGCAGCAAGCGAGGGTGTGATCACTAGCCATTATCAAGCCAGACTGGCCAGCAAGTAGATGGCTTGGGAGCCACCTGTGTGTGTCCTCAGAGGTTAGGATGCTTTCAGAGGGACCAACAGATTCAGGCCAAATGACGGAGACTGTGGAGTCTGGAGGTTGACTGAAAGATGGGTTTGTGTGTGTTTACCTCTGTGGGAAGATCCAGCGAAGATCCAGCTACTGGGTGGACTTTGTCTCTAAACCCAGTTACTAGAGAGATTCACAGCGTGTGCATGTGTCTGTGCACGTGCACGTGCGTGTGTGTGCATGCAAGCGAGAGACCTGTACCAGCACCTGGAGCGGTGCTGTGGCCTTGGGGGCTCACCTGCCTGGGTGCCAGCGCACAGGGAGGCAGGGGATCCCAGGGCAGTTACCGGATGGACCTACAGTGCATGTGTATTTCCCACTAACATACCTTCACCCTCATCAGCCAGAAAGGGGTACAGGATGAGGCTGTTGGTGCTGTTTGTATTTGTGTGAGTGCTGAGCATCATCTGTCTGTGCTGTTCTGTGTGGCCAGTCATGTGTATATGTGTAATGTATATGCATATTTATGTGCGCGCCTACTGGGAATACATGCTCAGCCTCACTACTGGTTGAACTTTGAAGCATGGAGCTGCAGCAGCCTCGCCTCTATCGGGCTAGATTCAGCAGCTCACCAGAATAACCCCTATTAGGCTGCTTCAGTCATGGGACACATTAAAGGGGTGTAATCCATGTTGAAGGTACCATAGGAAGACATAGGGTTTTATCTATTCAAGATTCTCTCATGACTCTCAGTTTGTCTTCAGCCATGGGTCTTAAGTCTCAGACCCATGATCAAGGAATCTGTCTGAGAGCAAAGACTACATTTTCTTAGCATTTTATAAATCTTGTAATAGTTAATGGTGTTCTCAGGCAGCATAGACGAAGTGGCAGAAGCACCTGCTTTGGATGCTCATGTGAAGGAATACTCACTCTTGGGAAGATCCAGCTTGGCCTGGCAAAGCTCCTTGCCAAAACTGCAAGAGAACAACATACAGGCAGAAGTCACCACTTTTAAGACAGATATGAAAAGCAAGGCTTGCTCCTTTCTGAGGAAAGAAACTGCAAGCTCACAGACTTTTAAAGATGTAACTGAACTATATCTCTTCTTCCACTTTCCTGGTCTCATCCTTGTGGAGGTGCTGACTGGTCTTTGTTTTCTTTCTACACACTACTACTAGTGACATGCAAGCAACTGACCCAATAGTGGTTTTTAATGTTAAATACTATCTATGTATCTTGTGCCTCTGTCTCCACAGCTTTAATGATGCTCACTTTCTTAGAGGGACCATATTCCCCAGGAAAGCTCCACAGGAGCAAAAGCTCACTAGACTCAACTCAAAGGTTAGGGGATGCTGAAAGGCCTCCTCTATTAAGGATTTTATAGAAGGGACATCAATTTGTAATCTAAGCCCCCAGGATGATCTTGGGAATTATAAGCTTGAGAAAGAGTCAGGATGGCCCAAATGGTTTTAATCTGGACTAAGAAAGTGATACAGACACCTAAAAATATTTCAGGCAGCTGAAAACCCAAAGGATCTGATTGTTCTCTCACTTGTGTAATTTTTTAAAAAAGCATACAGTGAAACTCTGTTGTTTCACATCAGTGTGAGCAAAGAATCAGACCCAAACTGTTGAAGCCATATGACAGATTCGCTCTACAAAGACAATGCCTTTTGGCCCATTCTTCCTGATGTTCTCAGGATTTTCGTGAGCAGATCCCAACACCCTTTCAAATACTCAAGTGTCTTCAGCCCAACTCCTCCAAGACACTGATTCACTCACCCCAGAAACAGCAGGGTAGGCTGGTCGTGGGAGACCAGGCAAGGCCATTTTACTATGGAAGGCAGTTGCAGAGATAATCTGGGCAGATGACATTGTAGCCATACTCTGCATGGCTTTATCTTTAGCTGCCTGATCCTATGGGCAAGAGTAGAAACAGGAAAAACAGAATTATTATAATGATAAACAAGTTGCCTGGTCTAATGCTGCATAACCAGGATTCTCACCAGCTGCTTTGTAGAGAGCAAGCATCTCTGAAAACCTGGGCAGCAGACTCACCAATAACTGTCCTAAGAATTCTTCATAGCATGTAAGTCTTTCACCCATTACTATAGCTTCAGATGTGATTAATCATCCCTTCTGAAATGCTGGGATCACTGGTGTAGAAACCTGCTAAGCATTTATCCTTTCTGTCCAAGGACTTTCCACCACACAGCCGAAATGTTTTGTTATGGAAAGTACAATCTTAATTGACTCGTGTTTTAATCATCGGTAAGAATATTCAATGGGACACTCTTGCTTATCAAAAAAAAACCTCTAAAAAACAAGCTCACAAAAGGAGTTTTTCATCAGCACTGCAAAAAGACTACCTCAGTTTGGGACTGCATTTGTCTCAGGTAGAGTTGATAGTTTTATTCCCATCCCTGGGGAAACAGGAAATCTTAATAACCTCCCAGGGCACATATGCAAGGACATTCCTTTTTGCATTTTAACCAGGCCGTAGAATTGCACACATTTTTACAGGCAATGACAGTGCAACAACTAGGGGGTCTGATATATGTTTAAAACAAATAGCATTCTTTGTTTCTTCTTCCAAGGAATAAATAGACAAACAGAAGCATTTCCCCACATTCTGCCTTTCCTCCTACATCACCTACAATTAATCTTCAACCTTCAAATACTCCACATTTATCTGTGGCATTATAATGGCAATGCCATAGATGAATTCATGGCTTGGAGAGACTGCTGAAAGAGGTGAGCTCTTTCTGTCCTCATCAGGAATTCTCACTTCCCACTTGGATTCATTGAACTGCAGCAAGTTCTCACCCTTGGGTCTCCATTCTCTCTAACCCCTCCACTTTCTCAAAGGTTTTCTGAAGTTTGAAGCCCAGGGATTCTTAAGTGTCTAACACAAAAACATTTGGAGGAGGCATAACAAAAGCTCAAGAATAAATTATAACAGTTAAGTGGAACAATCAGTAGGAATGGGCAATACTTGCATATCTTCTTTTTTACAGTATCTGTGACTCCTGTTAGTACTATTCAAGTGAATGGAAAGGAAACATTTTAATTGCTGAGAAAGTTGCTAAGATTCTCCAAAGCTATGGGAAAGTTTTTCAGAATCCAGTTTAAGTGATGCTTTAGGGAATACTTTAAGGATTACCTACAACATGTTTTAAGGGTAAGGATTCTTTTCTGGCTTTTTCATGATTTACATAAAGACCATTTCCCAGTTGCCACTGCAGAAAAGGACTTTTTTCCTCCCCTTACTTTCTCACTAGAAAAATCATATTTGTCTACCTGAATTTATACATGAGTTTATGGGGAAGAAGCATTTACTTGTGGAAGCATTACAGTTAAGAAAAAATTAAGAAGGGAAAATATTTTATCTATTAGCCCCTGTTGTGTTTTTCTGTTTTGTTTAAATGCCTGATAGACAGCTGGAAAAAGCATGTTTTTGTGAAAGACACCTCCTTTCTCTTTCAGCTAGCAGTTCTGTATTCATTTGTATCGTGTTTCAGGTACAAAAAAAAAAAAAAAAAAAAAAAATAAGAAAATGAAGCAACAAAATTTTTTACCAAACATTTGAAATGCCTTTTATTATTCTCAAAACACATAATCATAATGCCACCACCGCAATTTCCCTCTTTTTCCTTAGTACAAGTGTTATCTATTAGCCACCCAGGACATGGAAAACTACTGATTTCTGGGAACAGACTTTTCTCCAAGCTTTACCTTACTTTCCCACCTCTCTGTTACAGGCACACTTAGAGAAGACACCCCAATTTGTTTGGAGACAGTAGTATTACAGTAATTGGTCTGAAAAGTCAGCGTGTAGCTGCTATGATCTCTAGGATATAAATATGAACATGTATACTCGCTACGGAAAATGAACAGTGATAGAAGAACACACAGCTATCAGCAG